AGCCGGAGGGAGCAGTCTCTATGTGGGATGTTGAGAAACTGCTGGTGACAGATGGTGCAGCTCTGAAGTAGCCTGTGACATGTCTCCTCACAGCTCATGAAGGGTCAGAGTGCAGTCCTACCATGTGTCTGACTAGCAGAATAAGCTGGAAACCTTTAGCAGACTGTGGTGATGCCCAGAGAATAGTAAACCAACAGATAACCACAGAACCATGTGCCTTTTTTCCCCTAAATGTGATACATTAACTCTTTGTTAATTTTAGCTCTATTTTAATGATCTGTACACTTGGATTATGTTTTTCACTCCAGAATGTCTCATGTCAATACATTAGCTCATAGATTCATCCATGGATTTTACAAACCATATTCCTGTGTCCCTTGCTAGAAAAATCAAGGTAGTCAGTTGTGTTCATTACTTCCATATCCATCTATTTTTGCAACACCACTATCTAATGGATATTGCTACATATGGTGGCACAGGTTGTGCACTATGCCAATTTAGAAAATGTTCTTCCCACTGCAGATTATGTTAATGTTGCCTCCTGGAGTTGTGCAGTACATAGCATGCACAGTCATATATGAAGGTCATGAATCTATCCATTTCCTTTTTGATTAACCAAAAGATCATTCCATAAATCTAAGCATAAAGCAATTTATGTACTATTTTTTGTGCCTGGATCCTCACATGTAAGAGGACACTAATAATAGCTATCTGGTTGGGTGCGGTGGCTCACACCTATAATCCCAGCACTTTGGGAGACCAAGATGGGCCGATCACGAGGTCGAGAGATCGAGACCATCCTGGCCAACCCGGTGAAACCCCGTTTCTGCTAAAAATACAAAAATTAACTGGGCATGGTGGCATGCACCTATAGTCTCAGCTACTCAGGAGGCTGAGGAAGATGAATTGCTTGAACCTGGGAGGTGGAGGTTGCAGTGAGCCAAGATTGTGCCACTGTACTCCAGCCTGGGTGACAGAGCAAGACTCTACTCAAAAAATAAAAATAAAAAATGACATCTATCTGACAGACGTACAGTGAAGATTAAATAGACGAATCCACTAAAGCACTTAGAATCATGTCTGGGATCCATGAGACTCATCAAACACCATCCCATATCCACACTTGTAACATCTGCATGTGGCCCCCAGACACTGCTTTCTTCTTCACTTCAGTGCAATGGGATGTGCTGCAGAGCTCCCTTTGTCTCTGTCTCTGATGTGACAATGTGAAGAGCTCTCCCTGATCCAAGCTCTAATGGATGGCCTGTCTGATCCGGCTTTTTCTTAGCAGTTACTGACCCGATGCATTTCCCTTGTCTGATAAAATGCCACCAGTGCCGCCAGTGCCCTTTCCTGAATTATTTCAAGCTTGGCTTTTCCCAGCCTCTTCCTATAGTACTTGTCACCTTCATGCACATCAGCCTGAGAGGCACTAGACAAGGGTACTTTCAAACCTTGCTGCAGAATGCCTTCAGATTTTAACACAGAGCCTACACTTTGCATTAACGGCATAGTTTACAACCTGACTTTGAAAGAAAAGAACAAGATGCAAGAGTCTCATGAACTAATTGGAAATATTAGACACAAGTTGCATGGTATTATTTCAAAGGTTGCTGAAATAGCTTGGCTTTAAATATTATGTCATTGCTTAATCTTTTCCTAAGACTAAGGTCTGATCAACAAAACTAAAATATTGCATCTACTAGAGTACTGTACAGGCACTATTTTAAAAGTATTTCAAAAGTGACAAAGTTTATAGGGAATTCAAATATTATAAAAACATATTGATTGGAAAATTTAAAATTTTCAAATGTCATTAAAAATGTTATCCCTCCATATGTGTAATACATTTTGAAATCTATTAGCCTCATAGAATCCAGTGAAACAAAATGGAATATTTCAAAAAGAACCTCAATATTTAAATAATAATAGCAATAATTATGTTTGTTATGCAAATTAATCAACTGCTTTTTCACTCATTTATACCAGAATTGCAGAATCACTTATAATCTAATCAATTCTGGGCCATGACAAATTGATGGTAGACTCCACTATATTTTTATCTTTAAGTTTACCCGACTTCCACCTTCACATAGCTGATAGCCTTTGAAGAATTAATGCACATGATTTCTTTTATAACAGTACCAGTAAATCAAAGCATCTTTCTGAAATCCAAAGAACTATCATCTTTTTGAAATCCAAAGAACTATTATAAAATATTTGCAGCTTACACTGTGCACCTGGAAAAGCTGCAGGCAATCCACACCAGCCCATGAAAGCAGCCAGGAGGGAGGTTGGACCCTGCAAAGCCACAGGGGCAGAGCTACCCAAGGTTGTGGGAGCCCACCTCTTGTGTCAGCACAACCTGGATATGAGACATGGAATCAAAGGAGATGATTTTGGAACTTTAAGATTTAATGACTGCCCTACTGGATTTCAGACTTGTATGGGGCCGGTAACCCCTTTTTTTGACCAATTTATCCCATTTGTAATGGGTGTGTATTTACCCAATGTCTGTATCCCTATTGTATGTGTGAAGTAACTAACTTGCTTTTGATTTCACAGGCTCATAGGCAGAAGGAACTTGCCGTGTCTCTGATGAGACTTTGGACTTGGACTTTTGAGTTAATGCTGGAATGAGTTAAGACTTTGGGGGACTATTGGGAAGGCACAATTGTGTTTTGAAATGTGAGGACATGAGATTTGGGAGGGGCCAGGTCAGAATAATAAGGTTTGGCTGTGTCCCCAATCAAATCTCATCTTGAATTGTAGTTCCCATAATCCCTCCTATATGGTAGGTACATAAAGTTCTTAGAAAACTGATACATAGTTACATGGAAATGTTTCCCCTTCAGGAAGATGTGGGTAGTTTTTAAGCTACTTGCATTCTAATTAGGAAAGCTGATGTTTCCTTCATTGGAAAGGCTCCCATTAAATACCTGACAAAGTAAAATATTGGTATACTACAATTACTTTATTCAGAGTCTACTACACAAAGATATGGTATGAAGTAACATTGGCTTGAGTGATCTCTGGCCACACAGAACAGGTTCACGGTGTCGGAAAACAAGAATGCTCAGAGTCTCAGAAAGCTGAGCTCTAAAGACCCTGCACAGTCATGCTGTCCCAATAGGTTTCGAGTTGTCATGGATGATATCAAAGAAAAAAAATTTCAATGCTACCTATTGAAGCACAGTAAAAAAGACTTTATTCAGGCCCATCATGATGGGTACAGGGACCACAACAATGGAGACTTGTAGTAGGGGAGAAAGATTGGGCTCAGCTCTGAATACAGTATGGGAAAGTGGGGATTTACAGACGGAACAGAGTGAGGGGCAGTGGATGGAGGACTACCAAGAGGAAATATCAGGAGGTATTCAGCTAAACTGACCTAGCAGGATTCTAGCTGAAGGCAGGCCAGGTGACCAGACATCACCTTGGGGGTGGTGGAGGCTGTGGAGCCTGATCAGACTGAGGAGGAACAGATATGACAGGTTGGGTGCTCTTGCTAAACGACTTAACAGACTTCTTGCCAAAACTGATTGGGCCTGGGGAAAGGTTGAGGAGCTTGGCTAAAGTTTGGCCAAGTAGAGAATCTTTGTCCATAAAGTCTGGGATGGATGTGAGGTCTGTAGAGGTCAGACAGCTACAATTTAAGAGGTTTTGAGCATTTGCATCACACATCACATTCTCTGGGTACTAAAGAGAAGGCAACAAGGCTTTAGCTCGTAGAGGCCTCCACGTGATGAGCATGTTTCCTCCTGAGCATGTTGGCTCCCTATGGCCACGCACTCGCCAGCAGCCTCTCTATGGACACTTTTTGTCATTTTATTAGAATAGCTGGGTTGAATGAGAGCCGATCCTAGTCTCAATACCATGCCCTTCTCACTCCAACTTCTTACTGCCTCAGGGGTTTGTTCCAACACTTGTTTGGTTTTCCTAAGGAATCCAGTTGAAAGAAAGAAAAGAGGGTAATATTTTTCAAATCAAATTTGTGCCCCAGGTGTTTGTAGAGCAAAGCAGCTGCTTCACCAGGGTAGGGTCCCTTCCCCAGGGCCTTGTAAGACTTTCATGGGCCATGAAGGCAAAACATATTAAATATATTTTCATATAAAAATATATTATATAAAAACATAAACCATGTTAACATACTATGTTATGACTATGTTGGTGTAAATGCCAATATGATTTCCAATCCCCAGTGTTTATTTTCTTTTCTTCTGATTATAAAAGAAATTAAAATATTTTTGTAGGCCCCTAAAAAGGCCTTAGAGAGTATGCCCAATGGTAATAATCTGGCCTTTTCCCACTCTTGAATCATGGCGGTCGGGGCTATTTTATGTCTTATTCCTCTCTGCATTTCTCAGCCTCCTTCTTGAGCTGAGAAAGTTGACGAATCTTTGCAGAACTGGAACTTGTATTCTTCATCACTTGACATCAAGCTGGAAATATTGTAAACATTCCCCACAATGTTGAATTCAATCACATTAGAAAGCATGGTATTAGTGCACAGCAATTTTTCTTCTTTTTTTTTTATTGCATTTTAGGTTTGGGGGTACATGTGAAGAACATGCAAGATTGTTGCATAGGTACACGCATGGCACTGTGATTTGCTGCCTTCCTCCCCATCACCTATATCTGGCATTTCTCCCCATGCTATCTCTCCCCAACTCCCCACCCCCCACTGTCCCTCCCCTATTTCTCCCCGACAGACCCCAGTGTGTGATGCTCCCCTCCCTGTATCCATGTGTTCTCATTGTTCAACATCCACCTATGAGTGGGAACATGCGGTGTTTGATTTTCTGTTCTTGTGTCAGTTTGCTGAGAATGATGGGTTCCAGGTTCATTCATGTCCCCACAAAGGACACAAACTCATCGTTTTTGATGGCCACATAATATTCCATGGTGTATATGTGCCACATTTTCCCTGTCCAATCTATCATCGATGGGCATTTGGGTTGGTTGCAGGTCTTCGCTATTGTAAACTATAGTGCACAGCATTTTTAATTGCCAAGGAAAATTTTAACTTTGCATTAACATATTCTAAGTAATCCTTTCACCTAATACAATCAGATTCCTGTGATAAGCCAAATACTTGTTTGTGTGTGTGTGTGTGTGTGTGTGTGTGTGTGTGTGTTTCCCCTCCACTTTTCATTGTATGACCTTCAGAAAAATCAGAGAAGTGGGCTTCCATTTTTGAAAAAACAGGGCTTTCTTAGTCCCATAGATAGGTAGATTGCAATTGCTTTTCCTGAAGCATTGCTGACCTTCTAAAATGATGCCTATGTATACATTGTTAATCTATTTGCTTAACTTTTAACATCTATGTAATGCTAGAAATATAATAATTTTTTTAAAAGAATGTTTAAAGCTTCAAAGCCCACTAAGGTTTGGATATACAACTCCAGAGGTAATATGAATGGGATGCTTTGTAAACACATAGCCATGCCTTCCAGCTCTGCAAAGAGAAACAGACAAACAACAAAACTATGCCGTAAAGAAGGTTTGTGAGGTTTCTCCTGGACAAAAGAATTCCAGTTTCCTGTTATACATTCAAATCAAAACTTTCAGATGGTAAATGATTTGATATCTAAGATGATTATGGTTACCACAAATCAACCTGATTGCTAAATGCCCTGAAATGTGATCTCAATTATTTTGAGGCACTTTTAAACTCAATACATTTGCATCTAGAGATATATTTCATCCTTCATTTGCTGTTAACATTTTACACATTAAATAGTTCTAGACACAAATAGCCATTCGTATAATCTATAAAGGCTCTTCAAGTTATTTAATCCTGCAGCATTCCCACATCATCAAGTATTTTCAGAAAGTCTTACTTGCATTGAATATGTTAGACTTTGCCTAAATATTGTCATCTTATAGCATAAGTTTATAACAGTGGCTTTAAATAGTTTCCACGTGATAGTATCAGTAGCAATCCTAACATATCATCAGGAAGCTAGTGCCCTCTCTAAGAAGAATGTTTTCTAAAGCAAAAAGACAAATTCTCCTGCAATTTCTGGAATGAAAAATCAATGTTAAAAGGAAGAATCCTTTTTACTTTTCAGCTTTCAACAATTCTGGAGTTAGGCGGTAGGAATCACTTCTTTCTCTTTTTTTCTTTTTTTAAAGAGAAGCAAAATTAATGCCTGAAATAGAAGAACTTAGTGGGTAACTGGGGAAATGCTGTTGAATCCTCCCAGCCCAACAGTACCCCCTTCCTGCTCCAACTTCCCAGGGTTGGGGGTAGGGATAAAGAAATTATAGCCAACTTTCAGAAAGCCCAAGTCATGGCTAGCATTCTCTGCAAACTGTTGTGGGGGTTACAGGTGTTCCATTCACAGCACTGTCTTGGAATTGAGCAAACTCTGGGCAAATAGAAAGTGGTCAGACAAGTCCACAAAAGAGATGAATGCATAAACAGGTGGATGGCAGCTTCTCTCGATTTTGCCATAAGGGAATCCAATCATATTGTTGGGGAAAGTCTTGTATCTGAAGAAACGATTGCACTTTACATTCCACAGGCGCCTTTCCTCAGGATGGGCTGGTGAAACTATCTTTGAAACTATCTCCAGCTGTGCCACTATCAGGCTCTCTCCTATGTGACCAGTTACGAGTTTTCCCTGACTTGTGGGATTTGGGGAAAATAGAATGAAAGCAAAATTGTTCATCTCATTGTGAACTGGAAGCAATGAAACTTCTCAGCTACAAAACTTGCATACATGACTGCTCTCTGATGACTAACTTCTGCCTAAAACTAAAGGAAATCATGCTTATGTGCATAGATCATGCATTGCTTGTGAGTGATTTTTGATCCCCTCCAAATATCAGAGACTTTCTAGGCCAATTATTCTGAATTACATTAGAAGAGATTCCCTGAACCATAGCATCTCCACAGTGGGCTTTTAATTCAGAACTTCCATTCTCCCAAAGAAAACAGTGGAATCCAAGAATAATAATACAAATTATGGAATGGAAATCAGTTCAGGAGAGATTTGCTTTGGGATTTTTGTTACTATAAAATTTTGCAAAAAAAAAAAAAAATCATCGTGCAAACAAATCTATTTGTGAGCTTCTACTGTTTTTACTTAAATAGTGATCAGCTTCTAGGTCCCCATTTTAAAATCTTAACCCTCTTGAGGAAAGAAATATACTATATGTGTGCATGTGTATGTGTGTGTGTGTGTTTATGTATGCATGTGCATAACTATATATGCTGAAGAGCATTTGATATGTGTTCTAACTATACCAGTAATAATGACTTCCCTTCCAACAACGAAAGTGGAACTTAATCTCATCTATTATTCCTAAAGAAGATTTTTCATTCACCTTAAAGTTACTTATATTTAAATTACTAAACTCTCTTTTATTTGATTGCCTTTTTTATTATGCTTCAGAATCATGGTGGTTATTGCATCACTTCAGATTATAGAGTAAATGATAACATATACTGTTGACATACATATTTGCTGAGAGGTGAGTAAAGGTACCTCCTGCACCTTTCTGTTTTAAGATTGCCTTCTGTACCTTTTTGTCATCTGCCTGTGCTGGTATGCCTTGTAAATGCCCCTCTAGTCATTCTCTTTCCATTAGTCCAAGACTCTGGCCGCAGAAGGCATAAACCTACCATCTTCCTCTCTGTATACTACAGATCTTATCCCCTTTGTCCCTCCAGTTGAATAGCTGTTGAGCTCTGGCCCAAGCCTTCAGTTAATAAAATAGAGAATGAGTCCAAATCCAAGGTGTGGGTGGAGTTGGCTTTCCCTAGTGCCACTCCCAGGTGTGTGTTTATAATGAAGATGGTGAGCTTTACTACATGCATCTGCCTGGTGCCCAGGCACAGCTAGTAGCTCAGTCTTTTATCCTGTTTTTCTCTGTCGCATTGGCAAGATAGGCCGGAGGAGGGACAGCACAGCTGAAGCCAGGGCTTCCAAAGAAAGTTGTCCCATGAAAACTGGTTGGGCACCTCTGGCAGGGTCTTGGTGTGTCTGTCCGCGGCTTCCTGCATGACTTTGAGGATTTCATGGAACCGGGGCTCAGTGGCTGGAGTTACTGGGTTTCTTTCTCTTGGATCTTTGGAAATATCAAAGAGTAAAGGTGGGTCATGATGGGTGACATAATTCCCGGAACAGAAGCACACGTGTGTGGAAAAGCAACCGTTGGAACCCACGGGGTCAAAGTTGGGGGTGAAGAGAAAGGCCTTCCAGATGGATGTACCTGTGGTTTAAAAGGATGGAAATGGCATTAGGCATGAAGCATCCTTGCATGTACCACAAATGAAAAAGTGATATGGAAATTATGCCGCCATGTGCTTTAAGAAGGTGAAGACATCATAAGGCTGCAGGCACAATGTTTATATGTATAGGAGAGATTACGAAGCCACACGTAGACACTCACACACACAGCCAGTGGGAACAGCCTTAAACTTGCTAGGACCTCAGTTAACAGTTTATGTTTTCAGTTTCCAGAAAGTCCAAAAAATGTCGAATCAAGAATTAAATGAACTTTGGGAGGCTGAGACGGATGGATCACTTGAGGTCAGGAGTTTGAGACAAGCCTCGCCAACGTGGCGAAACCCCGTCTCTACTAAAAAATACAAAAATTAGCTGGGTGTTGTAGCAGGTCCTTGTAATCCCAGCTACTCAGAAGGCTGAAGCAGGAGAATCACTTGAGCCTTGGAGGCGGAGGTTACAGTGAGCTGAGATTCCGCTACTGCACTACAGCCTGTGTGAGAGAACAAGTCTCTGTCTCAAAAAAAAAAAAAAAAAAAAAAAAAAAAAAAAGAATTAAATGAGGGCCAGGTGCAGTGGCCCATGCTTATAATCTCAGCACTTTGGGAGGCCAAGTTGGAAGACTCACTTGATCCTAATGGTTCGAGACCAGCCTGGGCAACATAGTGAAGCCCCGTCTCTATAAGAAATTTTAAAAAGAAAAAAGTAAGTTGAGTGTGGTGGCATGTGCCTGTAGTCCCAGCTACTCCAGAGGCTAAGGCAGTAGGATTGTATGAGCCCAGGTGGTTGAAACTGAAGTGAACTATGCTCATGCCACTGCACTCCGGCCACACACACACACACACACACACACACACACACACAAAATAAATAAATAAATATTAAAAGAAGAATTAAATAAGGCTAGAAGTGAGAAGGAGACATTACAAATGGGAAATGGAAATAATCTTTCGGGGATGAAGCAGATGTTCTGAAATTAGATTGCTCAACTCTATAAACTTACTAAAAATCTTTAAATTACAATATAATGGTATACAATGTACACCTTTGAAAGCTGTTAGAAATTCCAAATTAGGGGAATTCATCAATGCCAGAATAGGATGGTTGGTTTTTACAATATAAGTTCTTTATTTCAATAAACTCCAAAATACTAAAATTGCCAGGAAAAACTGACTTACAAACAAATGAATAGTTATGAAATAATTGATTCATTCCTATTTATTGGACAATGTTATTTTCCGAGGAGCTGCCTGCTCTCAAACACCTAAGAGAGGCCTAAACATGTTTCCTGGGTAGGAAAAATGTGGCAGATAAAAACAGAGAATTAAAATGTATGAACCGACTAGAATCAGATGCAGAATGTGAATGCCCTTACAGCTTTTACATAAAACCAAAGAGACATTCCTCCTAGGAAGCACCCCACCCATGTGGAAGTCATCCTGATCATTTGTGCATATAATGACATTGATTACTTTTGTAATTACAGACATTTCATGATCATCTGATCAAAATGTAAAATAGATTAATGCAATCGGTTTAAACCAACAGTCACTGGGTCTGTGTTGTCCCCAAATCACCCCTGACCTTGGACAAGGTTATTGATGGGAAAAGTCAGCCTCTTTGTGTGTGTGTGTGTGTGTGTGTGTGTGTGTGTGTGTGTGTGTGTGTGTGTGTGTGTTTAAAGCTGAGAAAGACAGGGGAAGCAAGGTGAATACGTTTAGATGAATATATTAAAGGAGATTCATAATGAGATGCCTGCAGTCTGTGGCATAGCTGACTCTGCGAGGCAGGACACGACATCTGTGCACTTTACATGGGCTCAGTGCACCTGCTTCAGAAAGATAAGGTCAAGCTGACACACAGACACGCCAGGCTGCAGGAGGAATTCCGGGACTTGGTTACCATCTCCAGCAGAGTTTAAAAAGGCAGCAGGTAACCTTAAGATGCTTCCCATCCACTCCTCTCATCCCACACTTGCTTCCTGGGTATGAGAGATTTCCTTCAGAAGCCTTTTTGGAGACAGGCTGACAGAACCTGCTGTTTGCAGCCACTTAGAATCCTTCATCAGGGTCAGCCAAAAGAGAAAGTGGTTACACAGAGAAGCAAGCCTTTTGCTCAGGCTCCCAATGCCACAAATCTAGAGGGCGTTTTGAACTTGACATTCGAGTCAAGCCTCTGTGTGTTTAAAACCCCAGGAGAATGCAGGCTCCCCGAATAAATTCATGTAAAGAGCCTATATTTTCCACTTGCTTTTGAAAGCCACTCACACAGATCCCTTCATTACCACCTGAGTGCAATCCTCCCCAGATGTGAGCTGGAAGATCAGATTGATGTCAAGCCCAGTCAACAGATGCAGGCACCCTGGCCTGGGGGGCGGAGGCAATGGTGTTGCTGGGTAGTTCAGACAAGGGTAGAACTAAGAATTAATTATTCTAAAGGATTATTTAGCATGTTCTGGTGTTGCTTGCTTTTTTATCCTTTCATTTGGATTTTTAAAAACTTTTCATAAAAAGGTAGATTGCTTAGTCTTTGTGCTGTTTCTCTGGGCCACTTTAGATTTACTCAAATGAGAGAAACAGAACTGCACATTTTATTCTAAGGTGGCTCACAAGATAACAATCCCTACTTTGGGAGCTTGTTCTGTTATTCATTAGGAACCCAGGAATTGACATCTCCAAATGTGTCATTTCCAAGATAAAAAGTACAACTCAGTCACTGGACAAAATAGAAGGCACCTGGCATAGTCATCTTCTTTTGTTTAATTTATATTTTTGATTTGTATTTTCTAGAGCCAAGGTCTTGCATTTTCACTCAGGCTGGAGTGCAGTGGTACAATCATAGCTCACTGCAGTCTCAAACTCCTGGGCTCAAGCAATCCTCTTGCCTCAGCCTCCCAAGTAGCTGGGACGACAGGTGCATGCCACCATGCCCAGCCATATTTTGAAAATTTTTGTAGAGATGGGGGTCTCTCCATGTTGCCCAGGCTAGTCTTGAACTCCTGGGCTCAAGCAATCCTCCTGCCTTGGCCTCCCAAAGCACTGGGATTACAGGTGTAAGCCACCATGTCCAGCATCATCTTATATTTTTCATAGGTATATTTAGTCCTGTATTCCAAAATTATTTTGATAACATACTTCATCTTGAATATCCTCATATACTAGAAAAATGTTAAATTTTTAAATATATGCTTATTCACCACTGTATTTTAAAAATTATTGGCTGGGCACGGTGGCTTAAGCCTGTAATCCCAGCTGGAGGCTGAGGCAGGCAGAGCACCTGAGGTCAGGAGTTGGAGACCAGCCTGCCCAACATGGAGAAACCCTGTCTATACTAAAAATACAAGATTAGCCAGGCATGGTGGTGCATGGCTGTAATCCCAGCTACTCAAGAGGCTGAGGCAGGAGAATCGCTTGAACCCAGAAGGCAGAGGTTGCAGTGAACCGAGATTGTGTGATTGCACTCCAGTCTGATAAACAAGAGAGAAACTCTGTCTCAAAAAAAAAAATTATCATCTACTGCTCTGAAAAAAGACTGTTCCTCTCTCATGACTGAAACAGATACATATTTTGACGAAGCTGGGAACTTAGATTCATTTATAACTGAGATCTAATGACCTGGAAAAGGAATTATTAAATTTGATATAAAGAATGCAGGGAAATTAAAGTGCACAGGTTTTTTTTAACTTAAGTAGTCTAAGTCTATGATGAGGACAATAATTCTACTGAGATTTTTTAAATCCTTACCCAAATTAAGAAAACAAATTGTCACAAGTAATGGTCAAAGCTATCAATGACATATGACACAGTACTGTTATGTCACTGTGCTAGAACAAAATGTTTAGAAAATCATCACCCATCTGGCAAAACATATTTTTATATAAAAGCGCCACTACAAAATGTGACTCAACTTATGAGACAAGAAAGTTTATTGTCATTTGACAAAAAGGCAAATAGAATTTAAGTGAGAAAAACTTGATGCCTAAGCCAGAAACTGATTCAGCATCCTCCACGTAGGATCCTAAAACAGCTATCTTATTAAAAATAAACTAAGCTATGAACAAAGGGAAATAAAGAGGTCTCTGAGATCCCTGGGATTTCCTGGGGACTACAGGGGCTTCTGACCCTGGAACAGGCAGAGACGTGATTTCTATTACTTCATGTTACAGCAACTCAGCCACGGGAAGTAGGAGCCCTTCAAGGAAGTCCCCAAAATGAGCACATGTGCTACCAAGGACAAAAATAGAGAGAGTGCAAACGAGAACTTTCGTTACATCGTAAAATCTTTTTAAAAATCAATATTAGTATCTAGCAGAATCTCCCTGTTAACCTCTTGGAGTCGGGTTGTGGCAGCCAGGTCTCACTATCACAGGCCTCCATGACATCTGTTTCAGCAGTGACCTAGTGGTGAAGTTAAATATTAAAAGCTGAGAGAGCCCGCACCCTTATACAAAGGCTGGGATGTAACAAAAGCCCACCAAGAGTTTTGCCCAGGCCTCTCCTAGACCTTGAAGCAAGACAAGGTAACAAAGCAATTCTTAGCAGAACCCATTTAGAATTAAACAAGTTTTACTGGGGGTCTGAAGAAACTTCCCAGACCTCCACAAACAAGTTTTATTGGGGGTCTAAAGGAATGCCCAAACCTCCATGATTTAGCAGGAGACAAGAAAAGGGTAATCGCCGCAGAACCTGGACTCATTTAGATTAAGTACATTTACTGAGGTTCCAGAGGAAGGTCTTCAGGACTCAGGCCTTAGTTACAGATTAGAAGAAGTTAATGACTTATGTCTTTAGATGAATGCATACTTACATATAGGCATATGGCTTAGAAGTTATATAAGCTCCAGAAAAGTGTAATTTTGAGTTGGTTTGGGCAATATTTTCCAGGCCTTCTCGCTATACCCAGTTACATAAATATCTCTTCCTCCCCAGTTCATCCGCATCTTGTTGTTGGGCTGTGAAAAATAGCAGCCTGACCCTAGGTTTGGTC